CCGATGTAAGTTTTACACTTTTTTATTATTAAACTTACAATTGACACGTGTAAATTTTTTTTATATTTTCCAGATGTTCTATGATTTATATGGGGTGGTACTGAACATTAATACTAAACATTTATACAGGATACAGCACATCGGGTACAGGTACAGGCATCTTTTGATTTAACAGGCAAGTGTCATATGATGGACAATAATACATAATCACTTATTTGAAAAAACCTTTATTATCATCTCCATATCCATTGCTGTTGTCTATCAAATGTATTGATTGAATTTAGTTTTGTGCAAAACTGTAATTGTATTTCACTTAAATTTTTATATCTTTAAGTGCTCAATACTTCATGAAGTTTTTTTTAGAAGACTTATTGGAGAATCATCTACTTCAACAACCCAGTTGATTTGATTGATTGGTGTGGTTGATTCATTACTTTTCAGAATATTAGAAAATATTTCACGGTTAGTATCCAGAATTACCTATATAATTTTATGTTTTGCTTAGAACTCATTTTCAATATATACATGTACAAAAAAAAACATCATGGAAAAAAACTTACACGAAATCTAATTAATTGAATTATGGAATTTTTTAGGCTTTCGAAGTCGTTTATAGTAGAAGGAAGGGTGATTGAGAATATTTCGTAAAAAACGTATAGCTCTGGTGCAGATAGGTGCATCACAAAGATTCGCATTTCAAGCTCTAATTTCAATAATTAAAATTAGACTCGACAACTTAATTAAAAATTAAAAAAAATTCATATAATCACTTGATGTACAAATTCCGTAAACTTCGATTTTTCTTATTTCGCTCTCTTTTTCTTCTTTTGCCAATTCGTCATGAATTGTAGTAAGTTGATCGTGCATGAGAACCGCAAGTTTAATCTTATCACCCTCATTTTTTGCAATATCATCGGTAAGTTTTGATTTGGAAGATTCTACGACTGCAATCTCTACTTCACGCTTTTTATAAATAACGGTCATGTCAGGTATCAACCCTGAGAACCGCAAGTTTAATCTTATCACCCTCATTTTTTGCAATATCATCGGTAAGTTTTGATTTGGAAGATTCTACGACTGCAATCTCTACTTCACGCTTTTTATAAATAACGGTCATGTCAGGTATCAACCCGTGACGAGTTGCAATACTAGACGAATTACGTTGAATTTTGTTTGCGTTGTGAGTGCTGTTAATTATAAGTTAAAATAGTAAATACCAAAAATTGAATACATATATATATATACAGTATATTGTATTAATAAATAAAAAAATAATTACGCTCCCAATTCAACTGAATATAGTTTAGCACGTAACAAACTCATTATGATGGGCGTATGTAATACCGAGTTCAAGTGCATTTCAGAGAAACCCATTTTAAAGTAACTTTCATTCAAGAGAAAGAAATTTGTGCTAAAAATAAATAAATAAATAAATAAATAAATAAATAAATAAATAAATAAATAAATAAATAAATAAAATTTCCTTATAAAAAAAAATAATACAGTCAAAGCTCATTAGAGTGAACCTCATTAAAATGAACTATAGTAAAATCTCGTTACAGTGAACTTTTTTGCTTGCACCAGTTTATTCTTTTATAATGCTTTTATAATTAACTGTCACTTGTTACAGTGGACAAAAAAAAATGTTTTTTCAGTATGGAACTAAGGGATTCGCTGTAATGAGATTTGACTATATCTATAAATAAATACTTACAACACACGCACTGTGCACACAATGAAGTTTAAGATGGTTGCGTTTATATCAAATTTTCTAAGGTCTTCGAATTTTGAATATGTATTCAAAAAGTTCACTGCATTGTCTGTGGTTGATATAAGACCGATTTCATTTAACATTTTATTGGTAATATCAATTTGCAATAGTTTATCTCCTATGCAGGAATATTTTTTTTTAAATTTTAATTCGATGTATTTATAAGGAGCCATCTTCTTTTTTTCTATGTCTTCTAGGTTGATGATCCCCATTTTTATTAAGTCCCTAAATAATGAATTAATATTAATATTAATAATAAAGATCAACAAAGTCATGAAGATATTTTCTTATTTAATTTTCAATTCTATATTCAATATAAATCACTATTAAAAAAGATAATTACCATTTTTCCGACTTTTCATATATGGAAACTAAATCATTGTTGATATCTTGTAAATCCTGTTGTTTATCAATAATCATTATAATTAATGGGAACTCTTATACATAAATAAACCATAAATCAAATCAAAAAATACCCGTAGATAATTAGAACCGAATTTTGGAATTTTGTTTAGAATGGCACCAAAATCTAATTGAGTAAAATTGAATTGCTCTTCTTGGTGTTCATCAGTTGGTTTTTCATTATCAAAACTATTTAAACTGCCCTTGTTGATACTTTTTGAACCTTCTTTTCGAATGTTGACCAGGACTTGGTTTGTTTTAGGTGAGATTGTTTGGTGAATCTTTTTTATTTCCTTAAGAATGAAGTCAACAAAAATTTTATCAATAAAAAATTTAAATTCAAGTGATATGTTATAACTGAAAATTTAGCCTCTCAGAACACTGTAATAGCAGAAATGTGTGTTAGAACAAATTTTCTTAAATCCCACAGAACACCTGCGAAACTGACAAAGCAGGGCAAGTGCTCTTTTAAATCCCACAGAACACCTGCGAAACTGACAAAGCAGGGCAAGTGCTCTTTTAAATCCCACAGAACACCTGCGAAA